TTACATATTACCCAGGAGTGGTCTGTGCATTTCTGCTACTTGTTAATTAACTCAGAGTTGACAGTAGAATTACCTAGATTATCTAAGTGGAATCTGTAGCTTTACTTCAAGCTCTAGGAGTTCATTAGGTCCTCTGCATGTGCACAGGGCTGTAGGAAGGTCTGACATAAGCAGATTTGGGTTGGACTCCTGCCATCCCCCACTTAGCCTTGACTCAATGAGTTTTAGATATTCTTAGCCTAGCCACAAAAGTTTTAATTTCATATATGTTTCATGTTGAGTTTTTGTGTGTGTCTTTATTAAAAAAAATTGGAAGAGATATATGAAAATCCAGGATTTTTATAAAGGTACAATGGCTACTATTCAGGCTGCTGGCTGAACTGCTGGCAGTTCAAACCCAATAGTAGCTCAGCCAGAGAAAGATGTGGCAAGTAACTTCCAAACGGTTACAACCGTGGAAATACTCATAGGCTTAAGAGCAGTTGGAAGGGACCAGTAATGAAGAGATTTTGATAGTAGGGTTAGTTATTTAATAATATTCAAAAATGGAGCTTTCTGACAGTATGGTAATAGGTGGGATTGTAAAATGGTACAGCCATTATAGAAGGCAGTTTGGCACTTCCTCAAAAAGCTGAACATAAAAATTCCGTATGACACAGCTATTCTACTACTTGGAATATACCCTGAGAAAATGAGAACAGAGGCTCAAATGGAGATTTGTACTCCAATGCTCATAGTGGCATTATTCACCATCGCAAGAACATGGAAAAAGCCCAAATGTCCAACCACAAACGAATGGATTAAAAAATTATGGTACATTCACACAATGGAGTACTATGCAGCATGCAGGAGCAATGATTTTGTAAATTATTACCTAACTTGGGAGGGATTGGAGAGCACTATGCTGAGCGAACTAACTCAGTCCCACAAGGATAATTATTGCATAAAGCCATTATTGTAGAACGAGTATAAGGATCCAAGAGGGGTGAGAAAGGATGGAATCAGAGGGATGAGGATGTGCAGGAGGAGGGGGGATTAATCATGGGTTTGTACAATTTGATGAGGGGGAGTGAGGGAATATGAAAGAATTTGTTCTTGAAAACAATGTAGTCAAATTTTGTGAATAAACTAGCAGAAAATTAAAGAGGAAAAAAAGATGTAAAATGAATGGCCTTACTCTATGATTCACATATTAAGGGAAAGGAATATAAACATTATGTTGTTTTTGTAGTTGTTGTATGTTTTTAAGTGGAAACCAATCCATTGCTGACCCTGCAGTGGGTGTTCAGAGATGGTAAATTGCTCAGGAGGAGATCCCCCATCCTTCTCCCTTGAAGCAGATGGTGGATTTGACTTTGGGATTGCAGTGACACTATAAACATTATTTGTAAAGGGGTACTAGTATTAGAAATGCTTCACTGGGTGGTCAGATTTAAAAGCTTGTGTATGAATAAGAATATGTGACAGAGTATCAGAGGAAGGCATTGTTGGCAAAACGAGCACCATATGGCAAGGCAGAGTCTCCAAAGGGCCTAATCTGCCCTGGAATTGTAAAACATGCACTGTGACAAGTAGGTCGGTATGCCGTGATTAGGGCAGGAGCCACCATTGGGACCAAGTTGTAAGCCATTTGTGGGATCAACTAAAGATTGTGAATTTTGACACATAGAACATGGAAAGTTAACATTAAGCAGGGAAGTGATTTGGTGAGCATTTTCTATCTGCAGACCATAGATGTAAAAATGGTAGTAAGGATGGGGCACAGAAGACTTACTGATCACAAATAACCCAGGAGTGGGACAAGGGAACCAGGTGAAAATTGAAGATGGTTGTTTGAGGAAGAATTAAGAGAGTAACAACATTTCAAAGGTAGAATGAAAAGAATTCAATTACTTAAAGGCAAAATATAAGAGGCCAGGCTTCAGGACAGTACATTTTCATGGACATTGCCAATGATGAAATATGTCTTCTGCATTAAGGAAGGAAGACATAGGGCTATAAGGTTGCTTGGGGCATTTGGAGAGAAGAGATGGGAGAATGCAAGGTTAAAAAAATGCTGAAATAGGGGATCCATATTATGGAAAGAAGAAAAAAATAAACCAAACCAACCCTCTTTTGGTTTTGTTTTGATGTAATTCTATAAAAAGCAAAACTAAAAATGCCTAATTTCCAAAGGCAGTATGTTACTAATGCTATGTATTCATCATTTTCCACTAAAAAACAAAGCAAGAAAATAAAACCTATCAAACGAGGAAACAACAGCCTCTTCAACAAATGATATTGGCAAAACTGGACATCTCCCTGCAGAAAACTGAAGCAGGTTCTACATCTCACATCATACACAAAAATCAACACAAGGAGGATCAAAGATCTTCAAGTGACCCCCAAATCATAAAGATCATAAGATTGGGGGGGGTTAATCATAGAGTTGCACAATTTGATGGATGAAAGGGGTGAAGGAAATGGAAAGGAACTTTTGTGAAAACAATATATTCAAACTTTGTAAATAAGTCCATGTAATTTTTTTAAGAAAGCATATGGAAACTGAGGAGTTTTTTTATTATTATTAATGCTAGATGATCAAATAAATAGGAATGTTAATCACTTGTTATGTATCAGAGAATTGGACAATGACTAGGGAGGGTAGGAGAATTGATGCCTTTGAGCTGTGGTGCTGGAGAAGAGTATTGAAGGTACCATGGACTGCTAGGAAAACAAACAGATTCATCCTGGAGAGGGTTAAATCAAGCTACTCCTTGGAGGCAAGGATTTTGGGGCTTCGTCTGACATACTTTGGGCATGTTGCAAGGAGGTCCTTGGAGTGGGACATCATGCTTGGGAGGGTGGGAGGGACGGTGCAGGAGGGGAAGACCCTCTGTGAGGTGGATTGATTCAGTGACTGGGGTAATCAGGGTGGGTGTGTCAGAGGCAGTGAGATTGGCACAGGATAGAGCAGGGTTTAGGGCTGTTGCACATAGGGTCGCTATAAGTTGCAAACAACTCGACAGCACAGAACAACAAACAACAACAATGTATGTTCAAATTAATTTGAATTCCTTTTTCTCTCTGATCATACATCATAAAGCAGATTTGTGCTTTATTAGTTGGCCTTGTTTGAGTTTGCCAAATATAAAAGTAAAAAGATTGTTTGATATAAAAACACCCAACCAAAATGGGACCAAACTTTGAAGGTCTCGTATATGGTATAAATAAAAAGCTTGAAAATACAGCCAGAAATATACAACCAGGAAAGGACAGGATTGAAGAATGGAACCTTCTAAAAATTAAGCCCCTGTGTGCTTCAAAAACTTTTTCCAATAGAGTGAAAAGAAAACCTACAGATTGGGGAAAAAAACGACAGTTGGCAATGACATCTCAGACAAAGTTCTCATAATGAAAGTTTACAGAATACTCCTGGGCTTCCACAAAGAAAAGACTGACAAACCAATCACAAAATGGGCAAAAGACTTCAAAAGAATTTTCACAAAGGAAGACATCAAGATGGCCAACATGCACATGATGAAATGCTCAAAATTACTGACAATCAGAGAGATGCAAACAAAACCACAATGAGATGTCATCTCACTCCAGTAGTTGTAGTAAAGTTTAACAGGACAGCAAGCAGTAACTGTTGGAGAGGATGTGGAGAGGTTTGAATTCTCATGTAGTGTTGGTGGGATTGAAAAATGGTACAGTCACACTGAAAAGCAGTTAGGTGCTTCCTCAAAAAGCTGAACATAGAAATGCCATCTGACCTAGCTATTGAACATCTGGGAATATACCCCAGGGAAAACAGAACTGAGACACAAACAGAGATTTGTATACCTATATTCATAGCAGTGTTATACACAATAGCAAGGAAATAAAAACATCCCAAATATCCATCAATATATGAATAGATTAATAAATTGGTAAATTCACACAATGGAATACTATGCAGCACTAAGGAGCAATGATTTTGTAAAATACTAATAACATAGGAGAATCCACAGACCATTATGCTGAGTGAACTCAGTCTCATGAGGACAAATACTGCATAAAACCATAATTGTAAAAACAGAAAGATAACTAGTAAGATGTGGATAAAAGTCCAAAAGGGGAAGGGATGAGATAGGGGATAGAGGAGGAAATCATTAGTATAACAAAGTTAGGTGAGCAGAGGTGGTGAGGGGAGGGTAAAGGAATTAGGAAAGATCGAATGGAAACCTAATTGATGGCGTAGTCATTGACATAGAGAGATCAGTGGTGATTAATGTTATAAAATACAATGTAATTGAGTGATCTTTTGAAATACAATGTGACTGTAGAATGTGTGAAACATAAAGCAATGTATATGAATTTTGTATGTAAATCAATATTAAACAAAAGTAAAGTAGAGAGGAAAAAAATAATCATACAGAATTGATCCTGATTGTTCTTGTGGGAATCTCTGTTCTTGATGATTAAACAGTTAAGTGATGAAGAATAACATTTTGAAATGTTTATAAACGGTTTATTAGATAGTGGAGATTGACAATGTGTTCCTTCCCTTAAAATCTCAAACTCTATGTACACTACAAAATAAGAAAACGTTCATTTACTACAAGAGAGACAGGTTTAATTAACATGTCTTTTTGAAAGCTTTCTGTGGCAGATTTTACAAAAATAAGCAGAATTTTTAAAGTGGGCTTTTTAAAGTTAAGGTTTTTGTTGGTTTAAATATTTTTCCATAAAGATAGTAAATTTCTGTTCCTACTTTGAAATGCTTCATAATCAACTGAAATAGAAATTCTGATGACTGAACCTGTTTACAATTATCCTTTTTGTTTCTTATTGAACAACAAAAATAAAGAATACAAAAGTAACTTCTGTGTTATCTTTAATATCATTTACCCTAAAAATCTTTTCTAAAATGTCACACTCCCAATGTTTTGACAGTTTTGGTGAGATGTATGAAAGAAAATGACAATAATATAATGTACAAAACCGTTGTCACATATAGAATAAAAATCTATGGGGGATTATTGCTGTGGGAAGAAGGGTCTAATCTTCATAGACATTTTCTTCATGGAATACCATGATCCCTTCCAGTTCATCCACACTACTCCATCATCTGTGCCATGTTTTGCCATGTCCCACCTGTAATTTCCACCCCAATAGTATCTGCCATTTGGATTGGCTGCATGACATCTGTTATACCACCATCCACCTCCATCCTCTTTAGAACATTGTTTACTTTGGTCTGCATTTATCCTGAAAAAAAAATGTGTTTGAAGTTATTAGAAATATAATGCTAAAATTTAGTTATTTGAATACCCACAGAAAACCGCAACACCCAGCCATGTGTTATATTCTTTCTTCTGGCTTCTCTGAATAAAGTCAAACCAATACCAGGAAGGACTTCTCTGCCTGACACAAGGCGTATGTGGCAAATTCATCTAAGAACTATGCTTATTGCTCCAATGACAGCTGTCAGATGTCTTAGCATTAGAGAAACTCAGAGAGTAAAATTTAAATTTTAATATGCACACTAGGGGATGAATATATAATTTTCTAAACATTGAATATCCATAAAGTAACTCTTTCGGTTGTTGTATTACTTTGAGTGAATAAGTTGATCTCTCTAAATTTCATCTGTATATTAAAACCAATAATGTCTACCTTATGCACAGCTAAGATTTCCATATGTAATAAATACGGTTCAGTGCCTAACACACAGTAAGTGCCCCAGAAATGCTAATCACTAATGGCCATAGATATCATAAATACATTTTAGTAAGAATATAAGCAGTGTCTTTTAAAGCAAGACTGAAGAACGCAGTACGTACCAGCCATCATTGTCTCGGTCATAGGTGCTGAAGTACATGCCATTGTGGATGGTCATGGTTCTGTTTACTCCCACCAGTTGAGAAGCTCCATCCATGAGAGCATTTCCAGCCGTTCCTTTATAGTTGCTCACTGAGATTTGGTATTTGTTGGCCTCATTCTGTACAGTGAATCCTCCATAGAGGGCCTTCACCGTAGCGCCTTTCCAGTCTTCCATTTCAATCAGAAGTTCCGTGGGTCCCATTTTGGTAAGCTGGCTAATTTTATCATTTCCAAGCCAATACTCACCTGAAAATAGAAATAAGACATAGTTAAAAAGAAAATCTTTAGGAATGTAAATTTAAACACTCAAAATCTTTCCTTCCTTATCTTTTATGTTCTAACTCTTTGGTAATTAAATTCCACTCAATCTCCCCAACTTTTGAAAACAGACTCCCAAAATAATGTCTTTCTTTAATTCAGAGTGTGTATGTGTGTGTGCACCTGTGCATGTGTGTGATGGATTGGAATAGAATAATTTTGTACTCTTAGTTTTACCTGGTAGGCCACAGAACTTCTTGCCATCCTCATTGGATGCAATATTTCCAAATCCTTGTTTATACGGATTCCATTTTCTGCCAAAGTCAACACTACCATCCTGGCGATTCTGAATTACTGTCCATCCTTTGGTTGAAGTAAGCAAAACAATAGATGTTAAGCAATACCAAAAATGTCACTTTCAAAGGAATGTCTTCATATTTTTTCATTCAATTCCTTTTATGTCCACCTATATGTGATACTCTGTCCACCCATATGTGATACTCCAAAATAGATACAGTACAAGTTTATCAGCTAAAAATGTTCTGAAATCTTTTAAGGTTGTGTTTTTCTCATTGTAAATGGTGAACAGCAAGCATTTCCCAACTGTATCAGAATGAGAAATATAGCAACTTATTTTTTGTTATCCTACAAGTAGCTTTTATTTCTTGGCCCTTTGTCATATCAAAATAATCAAAGAATGAGAGATCAACTGATATAAAACACTTACCTCCATTTTCTGTGGTCATATCACAGTATACTCTATATGGTTTGATGGAACTATCAGGCTGAATAAGGTACATTTCAGATGTTTCACCTCCTTTCCTGATAATTTCTTCACATTCTGCCAACATAAGACAGTATGGTATACTCAAGGACCTACATCATTATTACCTAGTCTTATTATCAATTTTATAAAGCAATAACTGATTCTATAGGTTGCTAAAGAAAATGTTTTAGGGAGTTAAAATGAATGCTATAGACATTGGATCTTTCTCTGTACTAAAAATCAAACTTTGTTTCAAAGAGTTCTTTCTACCAAAAAGTCTGGGAAGGTTTAGGAGGAAGTCCTTCTCTGCCTTTGCCCTTTAGGATATCCACAAATTACCAGGCCTTGGAAACACCTCTATATCTGTCTATGGTCCCACCATCTATTCAAGCAAATGGGCACATGCACACACACACACATGCCAGCCACCCGAGGAGCTCCCAATGTCTTGCTTATTAAAATCGGACAGAGATTGAGTCAAATCAGAATACAACGTGGGAAGAATAGCGTTATCCTATTCACTTCTGCTATAACGTCAATATGAAGTACCGGGAAAATCCACTGGCCTTTGTTTGTTCCCTTCTTCCTGGAAACCTATATGTTCTTTAGTGCGTTACCTTTGCCAGAAACCACAGGAATATTGCAACTGACTGTGCATGGCGTGCGGCAGTATTCCATCTGAGCTGAGACATCGGATTCTAATTTCTGTATTTTGCTTCTCAGGTTTTCCAGGATTGCACGGAGCACACGGAGGTTAGTTGGGACATGACTATTTACAGTCTCTTCTATATACACTTTCTGCTTCTCCATCTCTGAGGAGTACTCATTTATTACATTTTCATTATCTGGAAGAATAGAATTATTTTATTATCACTATTTTCGCTCAATAACATTCTATGACAGGTTTGGAAGCAGGAGCGGCTTCTACCTCCTAAACAACATGCCTCTGAAAACTCTATGAACTTTGATATATGTTGATGGTTGTAGAGGGGCTTCAGGCCTTTTGTTCATAGGGTTGCTAAGAGTCCTACTCGACTCAAAGACAATCAACAGCAACATTTTCAAGTTACATAGTAATAAATATGTTCATCTAGAAGATCTTGATTCTGATATCTGAGAATAAACTAATAGACATTAAGTTACAAGCAGGCTGTCATATTATATACAGTTGTATTTGAGGGTAATAGTTTGGTCCATGTAATATTCAAAGTACCATGTAGTCTATCTACTTCACTTATCATTCACTTTACAAATAAGCCAAAAAATATATACCCAATAGTAGATACACTAGGTTGCTTATTTTTACAGAGACAAAAAAGAGGAGAGGACATGATTTGGACTTTTCAGTTTAGAAATTCAACTTGTTAAAAAGTGAATCCATTTTATTTCCTTACCCTTGCCATATAAGTACAGCAGAATATTTATAAAATGGCTATAACATTTCCTTTAATAAAATATTTCAATTTGGATATGTTACTAATGGAATTATAGCTTAATATAAAGAAAACTAAAAATCCTCAGGATAGGACTAATAAAAACTATCGTGATCGATGGAGACAATATTGAGGTTGTTAAAGAGCCCATTGAATCTGGATTCATATGACCACCCATAGAAGCAGCAATTGAGAAATCAAATAATAAACTGAACTGAGAAAATCTTCTGCAAAGATGTCACTTTGAGGTCAAAGGTGTGCCTGACCCAGCCATGGTATTTTTATTTGCCTCATATGCATGTGAAAGATGGGCAATAAATAAAGAAGACAGAAAGAGAATGAATGCCTTTGAATGATACTATTGGCAAAGAATATTGAATATACTCTAATTTGCCAGAAGAAAGAATAACTATGTATTGGAAGAAACACAGCCAGCATCTGTCCTAGAAATGAGGACGGTGAGACTTAATTTCATACAGTTTAGACATAATATCAGGAGGGACCTAGAGAAGAACATCATGCTTGGTAAAATAGAGGAACAGAGTAAAAGAGAAAAATGCTCAAGAAGATGGATTGACACAATGGCTACAAAAGGGGCTAAAAACACCAATGGTGAAGATGGTGTGGGGCTGGGAAGTGTCTTATTCTGCTTTATTTAGGGTCACTATATGTCAGAACCCAAGCATCGAGGACTCTCCTTCATAGAGTCGCTATGAGTCACCTGAGACTCGATGGCACTTAACAACAACAACAACAACAACAACAACAGCATATGTCAGAGCATACTTGATGGCACCTAACAACAACAATCACCTGAGAAGCCAGAAGAAACTAGGCTCACTCACTGATTCCTTGACACTATGCTAGCAGCATTCACCATTCAGATCTCAAAATTCTAAATTTAATAATTATCTTCAATATATGTGAATGTATCATAGATTATCCTTATATTCAAAACCTTGAATGTGAAATTTGTGAATGCTAAAGTGTTATTACTACATGAATATTATCTTCTAAGTTATAAGACACAAGTTGCTTGTAGAGCAAAACACTGAAACTCACTGCCAGCGAGTTTGTTCTGACTCATAGAGACCTTCCACCAAGTTCCTCTGGCTGTAATAAACAGTAAAAGGAGGAGATGGTGCATCAGTCTCTCTCGGAGCAGCTGCTGGATTCAAACTTTCAGAAAGGTAGCTTTTTTGGTTAGCAGTGCAACATCAACATCTGTGTCCTAGACCAACAGAACTCCCTCGTTAGAGTTTTGAGGTCTTTCAGACTCACACTGAAGGTGGTATGTATGCCATGTCGTGCAGCTAACCTAGAAATGTCAGTCTTCTCCTAATCACTCATGTCCATACACACTAACAGCTGCAGTCTTAAAACTGAGAATCAAATGGGAAAAGACAAGGATATTGAAATACCTATTAATTGCTTCTGCCTCTTTTTCCACATGTCTTTTAGCAAAGTCATGTACTGGAAGGTGGTAGAAGAAGTCTGGGAGATGGAGTTCAGATTGTTATTTAATTCATCAACACTGTTTTTGATGGGTCTTTCCAGTTTTAACAAATCTTCTTGTAACTGACATCCTGTAGGACATAAAACTCCCTGTCAACAAAGAAAATAGCAGGTATGAAAGAAAGCACTTGGCTTATAGATGAATATTCCAATATTTGTTAAAACAGCACAATAAAACCCCACCAAAGCTAGTCAACATAGGGAGCTCCAGTGGTCTAGTGGTAAAGAGTTCTGCTGCCAACTCAAAGGCAGGCAGTTTGAATCCACCAGCTTCTCCTTAGAGAAAGATGAGAAATCTCTTCCCATGTGATTTACAGCCTCTGAAAGACAGTTATAGGGTCACCTATGAGTCAGCTCTAACTCTATAGCAATGAGTTGTTGAATAGTATAAAAACTAGTAATTTGCTTTTTTTCTTTGAGACTAGGTTTTATAGTTAGAATATTATTCTCAAAAACTCACTTCTGTCTTGGTTCTGACCCGTACTGAGCCTCCATCAGCTGTAAATAACAAGGGAAGACTGCCTTTCTCTTACAGAGAAGCTGGCAGATTTGAATCACCTGAGCCGTAGTCTTTTGGTTAGCAATGCCTAATTCTACCGTGGTTAAGATATTTCTTATCACACAGAAATGTAATTAATTAGACCACATGTGTTTCATCTTCCCCACCAAGTGGACAAAACATCGAAGTAAAGACAAACCCCTCTTGTATTAATTTGTCATTGTGAGTTCAAAGTAAAGAAAACTAGAAAGGAAGCCAAAGAGTCATTTTGCATCTTAAACCAGAATAAGGAGCAATGACGGTGGATCAGTGCAGCATGAGAAAACGGCAATGGATAACCAGAGCCTCACTATCACGAGAAGCATCTCTGCACTCACCAGATCTGCATCAGCGTGAAGGCAGCCGCCGGCATCTGGAGCTTTCCTTTCCAACTTCTTCTGATTGGGCTGAGTTTTGGGGGGCCGAGGCCTATAGCCTCCTCCACTGATGGGCGGGGGAGCAGGCCTCAGGCTGGGAGCCTCTTCCCTTTTCCTGTCAAGGGGTCGGTGACCACGGGCACCCAAACCAGGCTTCAGTGAAACAGGCAGAAAGAAAATGCAGGGTGTTAGAGAACATTTGGGACACAGACGTAACTATTTCAGCGTTCATTTCTAAAATGAGGGTATCACAAGCATAATTGTTTGCTTAAGCATCCATAAGCTAGTTTGTTTGGTAAATCAATCGGTTCATGGGTCTCTTGGAGAACTGTTGCAAGACCAAGTGTATAAATGCTAATGTTCTGCAATAGTTTTATAAAGAAAGGTCGTAAGACAAAATTTCATCAGACTATGAATAGTAATGATGTCGTATTAATAAAATCTCTAAGTTGGAACCCACGAAATGAAAGCTATATATAACACACTTGAACAAAGTTACTTTGGGCTCCAACTTTCTCATTTCTAAAATAGGTATAATTACAGCTAATACATGCCTTATACTATTATTGTATCAAATGACTTATTACCTATGATTTACTCACAACAGTACTTGGCACATGGTTACTATTATAATAATGATATAACCGTATTGATATTATTATTATTATTATCACATACAGAAACTTTCATTTCACTTCTTCACTGCCAGTTGCAATTTTACTGTCATTATTGATAACATCAAGCCTGGAAGCAGGAGCGGCATCCACTTTCGAAATGGCTTGCCTCCAGAAACTCTACGTACGAACAGTGCTCAGGCCGTTCGTTCATAGGGTCGCTATGAGTCGTCTACAACTCGATAGCATCAAACAACAGCAGCAACAACATTGATAAAATATTCCTATGCAATTTCTTGCTTTAAATCTTTAGGAAAACACCGTTTTCTTGGTGTAAAGTAGTTCACAAAGTATGTGAAAGGTCATTAAAATTATTTGTTCACAAAAATATTAAAAGTTAATGAAGTGGAAAATATGCAACACAATAAAAAGATTTTTACTTGAAATAATCCTATTGTCATACATTGTCAGTAGTTGCAGTTTTTTGGATTTTTTTAATTTAGCAAAACAAGTGAAAAAGGTTTTTATTATTATTATTATTATTATTATGCAAAGGAGACATGGCTGGTGAAAGATAGAGATGCAGTGCAAAAGAGTAAAAGAGGAAAGAGAAGGGGGCCAGCAAACACTCCTGGAAAGTCAGGTGTGGAGCCAAACCTTTAGCCCATGGCCAGTAAGAAAAAAAAGAGCAGTCAGTAGCTACTGTTATTGTTTGCTTGTTTGGTTTTTTTTAAAATTATACTAGCTTATTTACAGAATTCAAATACATTGTTTATCACACCAATTCCTTCCCATTTTCCTCACTTCCCCTGTCAAATTGTGAGACCCATTAATAATTCCCCCTCCCAGTACCTACAGTTTTGGACAAGTGAACAAGTGACGAGATTTGAAACTATCCTACTATTTTATAACCCTAGAAATAATCTAATGACGATTGGCAATTTTTTGTCATATACTCATTAAGTTATACTTAATATTTAATGGAGATGCTACAATTTAAACTTAGTCAAGTGTGGAAGTCCTATCTAAGGGCATAAGTGACCTTAATATGTGAAGATCTAGGGAAAATATACATAGATTTAGAACTTCTAAACGTGGTTCTAGACGAAACCAACTTGATCTGACAGGAATTATATAAAATACAATTCGTCTGCTTATTACAAATAAAATGACAAGATAAAAACTATGTTTTATATTTATTTTAGCTGACTGATTGAAGGACTGAACTAATAGTCTGGCTTTATGAGAGAAAAAAAAGACAAGATTTTTTTTTAATTAGAAAGAAATTATGTGAACATTTAGACTCATGAAGGCTGCTTGCTCAAATAATAAAAATTGAAAAAGCTAAGTCATGCCTAAACAATTAAGCTGCTTCTCTAAGCTTAGCTGGTCAACAAGAATGTGAAAGGGGTTAGAGAGCCCTTTACAAAATTCATTCTTACACAAACTCCAGATTTTTCTTATCCAATTCAATTAAATAGATAATTATTTTTCTTATGTACCATCCAATAATCAAAACGTTTTGGATCCCTTTAAATTCAATATATGATTCAAAGTAAATAATTATATTTCAACTTTATTGTGTATTATTTTTCCTAGGGTAAAGATAATCTGTTTGATATAAGAAGTTTAACAATAATTTATCTGATAATAAATGAAAACTTATTCAATTCTCATTGTTCCTGACACATTTCTATTACTTTTGGTAACTCCAAACTAATAGCAATAAACTACAAATAGTACGTGAGAAGGAAAAACATATTTGTTTTTTAGATACAGTCAGACTGAGCAGTATGTTCTATCTCCATCAATAAGAACTTTGATGCTAATAAAAGTTTTCTCTTCTGACAAAATCAAGAATTAATTTTCTGCTCTTACCCTTTATTTTACTTTTACATTTAGGTCAAGTCACTCATTTACAAACAGCTAGTAATTTTAAAAGCTGTGACCGTCCTTTACCAAACAGCAATTTCCCCAGTTTTCCCCTTTTAATATATTTGTATTATCTTATAGTCTGTAAAGTGTTCATACTTTTATTCTTATAATTGTAATCATGCACAGCTAGAACTAAATGGAAATCATAGTACTCAGGAAAACATCAAGCAAGAAAAACCACAGCTTACCTTACTTGTGGAGTCATCATCCTGGGAAAACAAAAGTGATAAACCAAGAAGTTATTATTTCTTTTTATGCAAGAATTGCTATGATACATTATTTAAATAAAATCAGTTGCTGAAATGAACAGCTTCATTTCATAGTTAAAGTCAACATTAATTGAATTAAAATAAACATATATATATATATATATATATATATGATTGTGATTCTTACTACATTTTCTATTAAAACTACTAGTAATAATACGACAATACTTTTAAATAATCACCTCGTCATAGTCTTGGGGCTTAACTGTAGAAACACATAGCAGTAATAGCAATAATAGATACTTCATAATTTTAAACTTTTGGAAGTTCCAAGAAGCAAGCCTTTGCTGACGGATTTAACTGAGAGATCCTCAATCCCATATATACTTAACTCCTCCACTCAATGTAACTTTAGAAATGGTTACGTCCCTTGGCTAATATTTAAGCTTTTGGTTCACCTGTTGGCTGAACCACCTTGTCTCTTGAGCAACATCTTCCCAGCAAGATTTATTTACTGGTTATTCAGCTGAATTTAGAAGTTCTAAGTAAAGTTCCTCAATTCATTTCTTGAGCAAAATTATGGGAAGTGAGAGATTTGCTTGTAGGCATGTGAATCATATTTCTTATAAATCATCATGGATACAATACTTCAGAGGCTCCAAATAATGTGTGAGGGGGGAAAATAATCCAAGCACAAAAATGACTTCTGTTAAAACTATGAGCTCATTAAGTATCTACAATAAAAATAATATTTTGGATGTGTGTATAGTATGGTTTTACAAGAAACAATTAAAATCAAGAGTAATGTTATGTGCTTGTGCATTTCTCCTTTCTTTTGTAAAAGAATGAAAAGAAAAATATAACAATTTATACCTTATGATGTGATAGACAAACATCAGAAAGAAAATATATAGATTTCCTATTTGCTCCAATGAGCTTTCTTATTTTGCTTGTTATTATCATAAATTAAAATGTTCAGCAAGTTGTTACTGTTATTGAAGCAATTAGTAGATTGACCAAAACAAATCTGTTTGCCGTCATGTTGATTTCAACTCATAAGGGGTAACTTCTCCTGTGCAATTTACTGCCTGTAAAATCCCTCTGGAGGGTCAACTATAGGTCAGTTCCAACTAGACAGTTGTTGTTGTT